CTGTAAACCGCTTAGAGAGGCCTGAAAGGCCTATGAAGCGGTATATAAGTCTACTGCTATTGCTATTGCTATATTCCTTCTCCCCATTGTGCCTGCGGCAATTCGGTGATCCACCAGGGGGCAGTACGACCTATAGGTTCAGGAAAGGGTGTCACGAAAAATAGGGGATGAATAGAAGACTATTACAGTATCCCAAAATAGTTTTATGGGTCTTGAACTAGAATGTCCTTTTCATTTTTAAATATATCATAAATATAATAAATAAAGCAAATATCCCTTTTTAAATTTGTCGCGCATCTCAGATATTTGTAGAGCAAAACAGCAGATCATCATCATAAGCTCGCCACGGGGAAAAAAATGTTTTGCTGTCCTTTTCAAGTTGAACTAGTTACAAACTGTCCTCTGCCGGATGTAATTGCCCCAAGGCACCACCAGAGGGCTGCTTTCAAGAGCTGCAATAGCCCAGAACGGCCACAGGAGGGCAGCAATCGGGAGAGCCTTTGTAATCCTGGCCTCCAGTTCCTCCTGCAGGGAGGGGCTGTTCCCAGCCCTCTTGGGGAAGCTGCAATTTCAATTGGATAATTTATTTTTTAATTTCGGGGCCGGCGGTGAAGCTGCAAAGGGAAAAGGCCGACGACAATTATGGGATGGGCAAAGACAGCTTAAAAAATAAATAAAAACCGAGGAATGCAAAGCAACTGAATAAACCTTAGGAATAAAACTTGGGAAGAAGAATCTGGAGCAAAGTCCCTGGGATTTCCCAGTTTTATGGGGATGTTGTGTGAATGCGTCACAGAGAAAGAGAGGAATGGGGAGGAGGGGCAAGCCGCTTCCCAGAGTTGGGCAGGGGTCTCCAAACAAGGCAACTTTAAGGCTTGTGGACTGGGAGTGGAAGTCCACAAGTCTTAAAGTTGTCCCGTTTGGAGATCCCTGCAGTCGGCTGTGTGTGGGGGGTGGGTGGCCTGAGACAGAGCCTCTGAGACCCAGGCCCACTTTCAGCCCCCCTTCTCCGCGGAAGTCGGAGGGGAGGGGTGTCATTTGGCCTCTTATCCCCCTCCCCTTCCAGCTGTGCAGAGAAAGCTCTGAAAACACAGGCCAGCAGCGAAGGCATCCCCCCTCCCTGGGTGTGTGGGGGGGGTCCAGCCAGCCTGCCATGCGAGGGGGGGTGGGCTGCAAGGGAGAGAGGGCCCCTCCCTTGTTGCTCCTGGCCCACTGCCAACTTCCCCTCCTGTTTGGCTTGGCAGAGGAAGGGGGCCCTCTGATCAGCCCCTGTGGGGATTTTGTGCTCCTCCCCTTCCAGATTCGGCTGGGGTGGGGGAGTTTTGGGGGTCTCTGCCCACCTGGGATGCAGAGAGGAAGCCAGAGCTGGGAAGTCTTCAGCCACAGTTTGCCCTCCAGATGATTTGGGGGGGGGGCGCTGGGGGAGGAAACGGGTTCGAATCACGCGAGTTGCCACGGCTGAGAACGGAGCAGCCCTTTTTTCCAACAGAGTTTCCTCCCCCCCCCGAACTACAGCTCCCATCATCCCCAAATGACACCACCCCGAGCCCCCCCAAAGAACAGAAAACGTGACTTACAATCACAACAGTTGTAAGCAAGACAGTTGTTAAGCTGTAAACGTTTTGCTCCATTTTACGACTTTTCCCGTCACAGTTGTTAAGGGTTAAGTTGTTAAGTGAATCACTGCTGTTGTTAAGTGAGCCACGGGGTCATTAACTAGATCCGGCTTCCCCATCGTGTTTCCCTGTCGGAAGGTCGCAAAAGGCGATCAAGGGACTCCAGGACTCTGCGACCGTCACAAGTCCGTGCCAGTTTTGATCATGTGACCACGGGGAATGCTGCAACGGTCGTAAGTGTGAGAAATGGCCCTAAGTCCCTTTCTTCAGTGCCATCGTGACTCTTCAAGTAGCCACTAAACTAACAGTCGTAACTCGAGGACTGCCTACAATAGTCGCAAACTTTCAAATAAACAGAAATGGATTTTAAAAATAATAATAAACACGAAAAGAAAGTAACAAAGTAACCCTGATTGAGGGGGGGGGGCTTTTCCCTTGAATTCACATACCGGAGTTCAGTGCCCTCCTTGTTACTTTTCTTCTTGCAGCCCCCTCCTCAAAAAGAGGCCCAAGTCCTTCCTAATTTTCCCTCTTAATTTAGGATGGAGCCGGGGATTAAAAGGGGAGGGGTCACAAAACAGGATTCAGGGAGGGGGGGCAGCAATCCAAAGAGGGGCTCCCGAGGTTGCTATTTGCTGTGTTTGGGGGGGGGAGGAAGCTGAGTTTCTTTATTAATTCAAGGACCTCTTTTGGGTCTGGGGGTGACAAAGTCCAGCCCAGGAATGTAGACCTCCCAACAGGGTTGTGGAAAAGGAAGCCCCCCCTTCCCCTTGGGCCTCTTCTTAGATGCTCTGCAAAATCTGGGTGTGCAAAGGGGGGGGACTGCCCCCCCACTCACCCCTCACACATAGAATCCACACTCACACACACACAGAGACTGTGTTTTCTTGGCTGCAACCTTCCCCCCTTCCCCTGTAAAGGTTGGAGACTTCAAAAGTGTTTTGACACAGCTGGGGGGGGGGGCAGAGAGGAAAAGACACCCTGCCAAGTTGGGGGAAGGGTGTGTGTGTGTATGTGTGTGTGTGAAAGAGAGAATGAAAAAGAGAACAAAAAGAAAAGGGAGAGAGAGCAAAAGAGAAAGAAAGAATGAGAGAGAAAGACTGAGAGTGAAAGAGAGGAAAGAGAGACTGGAAGAGTAAAAGAGAATGAGAGAAGAGTGAAAGAGGGAGAAAGTGAAAGAGAGAAGAGTGTGAAAGAAAATGAGAAAAAAGAGAATGAGAGAGAATGAAAAAGAGAGAGAAAAGAAAAGGGGGAGGAAGCAAAAGATGGAGAAAGAGAAAGAAAGAATGAGAGAGAGAGAGAATGAGAGTGAAAGAGAGAGAAAAGAGACTGGGAGAGTAAAAGAGAGAATGAGAGAAGAGTGAAAGAAAATGAGAAAAAAGAGTAAAACGAGAGACGGAGAGAGAAAATTGTTGAGAGACAAAGGGAAAAAGGGGGAGTGAGAAAACAGAAGTGAAGAAGGAACGACCTTCCACTCTTAAAAAGATTTTGCAAACTTTCCTCTTATTTTTTCCCCTCCTCTGTCCCTTTTTTTCTCAACCTCTTTTCAGGGATCTACCCAGATCTCCGAGCCTTCGCGAGGACCCAGAAGTGAACTGTCCACCAACCCGGAAGATTTGAACTAACCACCCAGCGAAAGGGGGGGAGGGAGACCCAGAAAAAAGGGGGGGGGGCGTTAGATGTACCATCCCACCTTCAGGCGTGGGGGGGGGAGCCCAGAGGGGGGAACACCCCAGACGCTCTTTCTCCCCCCCCCCTCCAAAAATCCCCCAACCCTGAACGGCTGAATTTGGGAGAAAAAACCAGCGAGCAAGGAAGAGACCCTCCCCCTCGGCTTAGAGCCCCCTCCTCCGCCGAAGGTACCTGGGCCAA